GATAGCTGGGGAGGCTTTCATTCAGCCGTAGATCAATCACGGCTGACAATGGTCATTCCAATTACGAGACTTTACCCGGTGTAAGAGGCCGGAGTATACCCAAATGCCGTAGTATACCCACAGGCCGTAGTATACCCACAGGTGTAGTATACCCGGGGTCTAAACGGCCTAGGCTAGATTATAGCCGGGTATATTATGGCCTAGGCCAAATGATGCCCCTCTAGGCCAAATCATACCCCCGTGATAGTAATGGCGTTGAGCGATATACACGTGAATTACTAAATTTTTCCAACATTTTATTTTAAACTGTAAACACATCGACTTTGACTGCTTCAACCAGAAAAAAACTTTAATAATAACCCCTGAACCCTAAAAATGCTTCAATTGATCAAATTTAGATTCTTACTTCCACGCGTACGCGTTTTAGATATCGATTGCAGTTCGTTGTCGCCTGTTCTCTGTCTGGATAATTGCCTTTGAACTTTCACATGGGCAGAGTCTGGCCTGGAGCGGTATGGTCTGGCCCAGTCGAGTTTAAACCCCCGGGGGGTCTAGTTTAGCCTTGGAGACTTCATCCCCCCCCCCCCCCCCGGGTATACTCTGGACTGGGCCAAACTATACCCGGGTTTAATCGGGGCAGGGGTTATTTTAGCCTGTCGGGATGGAACTCACGACCTCCTGTACACCCGGCGAGGTAGTTAACATCTCATAGCCACCGTGATGATGAGAGAGACACGCAAACTCCAAATATACAGAAGCAGGCATTGTCATGGTGTTGTATGTGTCGGGTTATGAAATTTTGATAAAAATAATAAAAATTAATAATTTTCCGAAAAATGCGCAAATTGCATTAATTATGATAGTGTGTGTATTAACATGCATAAATTATGATAATGCGTGTAATTTATATGCATAAATTATGATAATCGTAGTAATTTATGCGGAGGCTTGCGGTTATGTTAATGTGTGCAGTTGTGATAATTAGGCTCAGCTTCGTTTATCCAGAGTTATATCAATCAGGATAACACGATTATCATCGATTAAACGTTTACCGATTATCTTAGTGTGTGTTATGATATTTCAGGTCACCAGTTTCAGATCTCATCACAGGATACAGTTGTCAAGAATAAGACAGTTTTGCATGGACTTGGAAAGAAGCACTCGAACAGTTGGTGTGAAGCAATTTATTCTAACAAGCATGTGACATTCTATCATGCAGGTCAAACATGCGTCAATAATTCATGAATAACCAAACTCTTATACATTTGCGATATTATGCATTCGATTAATATGGATAACTAAAATTCTTATGCAATTACGATATTATGCATTTGACTAAAATGAATGAATAAACTCTTATGCATTTGCGAGACTATACATTCGATTAATATGAATAACCAAACACTTATGCATTTGCGAGACTATGTATTTAACTAAATTGAATAACTCAAAACCCTCCTAACAGTCGTAACCTCTACCTTTCCACCAGGCATTTCATTAGTTCACCCATGTATCGATCACAATCGGCGACTGGCCGAGTTTGATAACAAGCATGACACACTTCATATGGCGGTAATAAAAAGCACTTATTGTATCCCAGAGGCGAAAGTATATGTCAATAGATTCATCGGCAAGTCTAAAATCCTTTTTAACGAAATGTTTGAGACCAGGGTGGGTGGATGCGTGTGGTGAGAGGGAATATCGGCTCTGCTTTGATTAATTCCTCAGCGAGATTCTCTGACAAAGAAAACCGATTTGACAAGATATTCTCTCTATATATATATGGGTCGATTCGTAATGAGGATTCCGAGAGTTTGAGTTTGCCTCGACGAATCTATTGATCGCCTATGCGATGAACGGGACAAAAGAAAAAGGCAAGGAGAATAACCTCACTCTTATAACCGACGGACTCTTAATCACTCGATGGGCCGCGATTCCTCATGGCCAGCTGATGGTTCATGTAGTTGATAATCAGTCTTCTGATAATTGACTAGGGTTGATACGATGGTAAGGGTGAACTAGATGGGATAGTCTCACAGGTGAGTGGGGCGTCGATGCGTGCGTGTGTGGGTCTATTGGTGGGGAAAGTTGTGGGTACGAACGACTTTCGGAGAAGGACCCTCTGGCTTGCGCAGCTGCGGTGAGAGGGTGAGCGGCTCGCTTTCCGACTCCTCCCTCGGCTGACCCCGTACGATGACTGACGGCGCGGCCACGCTCGTTTGCGTGGTCAGGCGATGCACCTCGGCGTGGTGACACGGCAAGAGAGCTGGGCTCGTACACTCGTGTGCGGCAGGCGATGCACCTCGGCGTGGTGACACGGCAAGGGAGCTGGGCTCGTACACTCGTATGCGATAGGCGATGCCTCGGCACCGCGCGAACCTCGTCCTTCTGGATGACGAAAAGCTTCTTCGTTGGCGGCGACGAGAAGAGATGGAGCCGAAGCCCTGGAGATCTGTGATGGGGGCCAGAGCCCCTGACGATCTGAGTTGAATGGATTTTTCCCCGGCTTATATTCAGAAAATCCACTCAATCTTCCCGAGTTGTTTGAAGGCCGTCATATATCTTTCTGTGGGTTGAACACATCTGCGTTCGTGTGTTTCGTGTGTCGTGTGCGTGTTTATTAGTAAAGACCCAGCGGTGTAACCATTCTGGGAGGAGGGGTGGGGAATGTTATTTTGCTTGCGTGTGCAAATCTTGCTGTTTGTGCTCAAAACGCGATCACCCTCCTCTTTCTTTTGCGAGAGACAAACAACCTAAAACAGTGCGAGAATAAGCAGACATCACCGCGTCCCCTCCTCGTGACCTTCCTAACCCTCCAAGTATTCATGGGCCATCTGTTTGTGCTGCGGGGAGACAAAGACGGCCGTGCTTAACTCAAACACGCGAGCATCCACTCCTTTTTCCGCGTCTCTTGCGAGAGAAAACAACCAATGTCAGCACAAACCCCCCCCCCCTTTGTGACCTTTTTGCTCCCTCCTTGCTTACCCTGGGTGGGTCATTCTGAGGTCAGACCCCGCTGGAAGACAAAGGTGGTCGAGGAGATGTTTGCAATACATGTATGTGGTCCTGTGTGTTACATTTATTCTTGAATTATATTTTATGAGTTCCTTCGGTCTTGGTATCGGGGTTATCATTCGTCTATGTTTAATGAATATTCGCCATGATCCTCGTCACATTATTATTTTGGGCTTCGCCAAGTTTAGTTCTCCAGAGATTGGTGTTTTATTCTGAGTTAATTTTTTTATGTCCTGAGGTTAAGTGCACATGCACTTAAGCTTTCTGGAATTCGTACTCTTTAGTTTTTTTGGAAGGTCGTGTAAGTAGGAAACATATAATAATAGTAAAAATATTATTGTTTGTTGGTTAATTATCTTTGTTAAGTTTCTACTTTTCGGTGCGGAAAACGTTAAGAAAACGCGAAGTTTCAACCGTTATTTACTCTGCACCTTATCTGTACATCTCCAGATGTCTTGGGAGGTTTAGTCCATACATCTTTTTGTCCGTCTGAATGTCTATGACCTCTTCGTGACCGAATTCCTATCATTTCAACCGCCCTCCATGTCTCATGGACTCCCGGTGTGCCCGTGAGGAGAAGTGAGCCGTCCTCATTATTAAAAAATATATATATATAGATATAATAAAAACAAAAATAATTTTTTTTCTTAATTATTCTTAATATTAATAACGGAAAACAGGGCATAGATACAACAGGGGCGATGGTTGATCTGTCATCTCAGTTGTGGAGTTTGTAGGTAATGTTTAGAATTTGCTACATTTTTGACCCAGACGCCAACATGCAAAGGCCTACTCGTTTTGAATTGCACAATTGTGTGTTTCACATCCACTGTTCAGTAGAGAGTGCATTCTTTAAATAGCTCCTTGTTAATAAGATGTTATCTAAACTAAATTATTCAATTTTGGAAGAATGTAATCCACCAGGTAGGGTGTTGACTTGTGTTGGCTGACTCTTGTGTTGTGTTGCATTATATTTCTAAGTTCACTATGTTTGTTTTCTCATTCACTTGTTGTACCTGACGATGGTTGCTTGTGTTCCAATCGAAACGTCGTTTTCTATTAAATTTCGTTCTACGTGACTTTACTGAAAAAACCAGAGAATAAGATGTTATCTGATGCAGTATATTTCACTGCACTAATTCAATTTTGTGCATATGCCTGTCAATAATTTAGAATGAATACTTGTCTGATTGTGTGCGTACATGTAACACACACTGTACGTACACAATGTACACACACCGTGTACACACAGTGTGTACACGGTGTGTGTGCATTGTGTACACACACAGTGCACACACACAGTGTACACACGCACAGTGTACACACACAGTGTACACACACGCACAGTGTACACACACAGTGTACACACGCACAGTGTACACACACACGCAATGTACACACAGTATACACACACAATGTACACACACACACTGTGTACAGACACAGAGTGTACACACACACACACACTGTGTACACACACTGTGTACACACACAGTGTACACACACACACTGCGCACACATAATAATGTCCACGTTGTAGTTGCTGAGCTCACACACCCAAGGGGTCTCTGTTCAAGAGATGGAGCAATGAAAATGGATCTAAATCAACTTAAACTCCAACCCCGCTCTGTGACGTCACCACTCAGCATTACGTCATCCGCGTGAAACACCAGGGGAGGTGTACCTCGCTAGTGACGTCATGTCGCCAAGGATGTCACCCCCCTCCCCCCGTCCCCCGCGCTCTTGAACGTGACGTCACCTCCGCCTCGGTCACTGCAGACATCGTTCCAGTTGCCAATCCTTATTTGGGCAAAGCCACGACCAGTGACTGGCGGCTCATTAACATAAAGAGTTCGTTAAAGACGTCACCAGTATATTGCGACGGTCTCATTAACATAATTTATTCATACGTACCCAGGAAGTGACGTCATGTCACCTACTACCGCGTGACGTCACGAGGTCACAAGAAGCTGTCGCTCCGCGCGTGCAGTGAAATCCGAGGTGAGAAATTCTCATCGTGGTGGTTGTTGTTGTTGTGGTTGTTGTTGTGGTTGTTGTTGTTGTTTACCAAGGTAGAGCCTCGCTCTCTCTCTCGTAGGGATGCCAATAGAGCAGCAGCAGCAGCTTGTGAATCGATGTCCAAGTTGGAACTTTACAACGCGGGGCCTAGACACGCGGGGCCTTGCCTCCTGCCCTCGCCTGGTCGCGTTTGCTTTAATTCCCTCCCTTAAGTTTAATTTGTCTTCACGCGGCTCGCTACTTTGTCACTTTGGTTTATTGTAGATATTAACGCAGTTTTTTTCGTTTTTTTACCAGCCCAAGCCCGCCTGAGCTGCTGTACCGCTCTTGTTTACAGAAGCTACCTGCCCACAACAACAACAAGGTGGGTTTTGTCAACGTGTGTCTCGGTGTTTTGACTTAAAACTTTCGTGACTGCAGCAATTCATATTCTTGGTTATTTCGGTGAAGTCACGGAGATTAAAAAGAATAACAGATAATAATGTTAAATAAAATTTAAAAATTGCAAATAAAGAATAAACCCACGACGTTTCGATCGCCACACAAGTGGTATTTTTTAAATTTAATTTCATGATCTGTTATTTTTATTTCCTATCTACGTGACTTTACCGAAAGAACCAAGACTACGTGTGTCAATGTCTGTCTGTCAAAGACGCTGAATGTGGAGGGGAAACCCGGGCAGTGTGTGACAGTGTAAAGTATATTGACTCTGATGAACACGGAGGTTGTAACAAAACAATAGTTTATTTTAGTTTTCCTCTGGAACTCTTTATAAGAGTGGAAGCAGGAAGTTAGCACAGCACACACACGTGCAGCAGCTGACGTCAGATCTGTTCATCCCATCATTCAAGGACATCTGAGCCTGGCTTCACACCGCTAAGTTGCCACTGAACAACATTCCTGCTGCTGCGGAGGGAGCTGGTAGGAACGTCGGGTTGCTCGCTCAATGGCCTGCAGGGTCAACGGCGGCGTGGTGTATTCCGCAAATATGCCGACTGTGAGGGCGGGCACAAGCCGGCGTGAGTAGGTGAAACGTTGAGTTTTATAAGGGCACCACGGGGTGACCAGCCCCTCTCCACCCAGCCCCTCCCTTCACGACGGACACAACAATCCCCTGTGGGCTGGTGTAACCAGGAGGTTCCTACCAGTATTAATTTACGCATTTCTGCATAACACAAATAGGATTGTTTTCAACACCCTTTGCTATGTCAGCTGAATTTAGTTCTTATACATTTTTATTTTGTAGCCAGACAGCCGAAATTGTGTGCTCGGAGTTTTGGGTTCACATTCATTTTGAAGATACGAGGGCTTCCAGGCATATTTATGACCATTCACCCTCTCGTTGTGTTCAATAACAGCCTGTGTGATGAATTTGGGAAACTGTTTCACTACATCATGAATATATGAATAAGTATAGACGTGTAAGTCACGTGTGACTGTGTATATATGCATTCCGCTGTGTCTCGATACTGACGTGTAGATGGTGTGGATATTCTTTTTCTGTCTGCAGCTGTCGCTTCCTCTGCAGAATTGGTCTGATGGAGCAAAGGCACTCGGCGCGGCTCGGTGCAAAAAGGCATCAATGCGACCGGTGTGCATACAGCACGGATTGTCCTGGACATTTTACACGGCACCAGAGAACTCACACAGGAGAGAAACCCTTCAAGTGCAGCGTGTGTGGGAAGGCGTTTGCACTTTCATCTACTCTTGTAACACACCAGAGAACACACACAGGAGAGAAACCCTTCAAGTGCGGTGTGTGTGGGAAGGCGTTTGCACAGTCATCTACTCTTGTAGCACACCAGAGAACACACACGGGAGAGAAACCCTTCAAGTGCAGTGTGTGTGGGAAGGCGTTTGCAAAGTCATCTTCTCTTGTAACACACCAGAGAACACACACGGGAGAGAAACCCTTCAAGTGCAGTGTGTGTGGGAAGACGTTTGCAAAGTCATCTACTCTTGTAACACACCAGAGAACACACACGGGAGAGAAACCCTTCAAGTGCAGTGTGTGTGGGAGGGCGTTTGCAGAGTCATCTTCTCTTGTAAAACACCAGAGAACTCACACGGGAGAGAAACCCTTCAAGTGCAGTGTGTGTGAGAAGGCGTTTTCAAATTCATCTACTCTTGTAAAACACCAGAGAACTCACACGGGAGAGAAACCCTTCAAGTGCAATGTGTGCAGGATATCGTTTGCACAGTCAGCACATCTTCAAAGACACCAGAGAACACACAAGCATCACAAGGTCCACTAGGAGTGGAGTGTGAAATCAGCTTGTGAAAGTCAAAACCGGACGACAATCCCAGCTTGGACACTTTTAGAGAAATCAAGGTGAAATATGAAGAGGTGAAGGTGAAATGTGAAGAGGTGATGGTGAAGAGCGAAGAAGTGAAGGTAAAATGTGAAGATGAAGATTCAACTCCAAAATGGGACCTTCACATCGATGGAGGCAACTTGGAAGCAGGAGGAGAATTCTGACTGTGAGGCAGAGTGAGGCAACTCCCAGCAGCAGTTTGTGGAAGTGGAGGAGTGGGTGGACTTCCTCTGAGACAACACGAAGTCAAATGGAGACCCGGTAGATGTGTAAGCCAGAGACGATGTCGCTCCAATAGATGCACCTTTGTCACAGGCCTTTAATGACAAGAATGTGAAGTTGAACACTCAGTTCCTAGGTTCAACCTGCAGAGTAAGAGCGAGTGGCCAGTCTTTGTGGACCTGTGTGTTGGGTAGATCTCTGAACAGCAGCGAGAGCCAATAAGCTCCCAAGCATTCACGATGTTATA